CTTTAGTATATCTTTATTGATTTCAGAGAGAGGAAGGGAGAGAGAGAGAGGGAAAGAAACATCAATGTGAGAGAGAAACATACATTGGTTTACCCCTGTGTGTGCCCCTACTCGGGATGGAACCCGCAGCCTAGGTATGTGCCCTGCCTGGAAATCAAACCATAACCTCTGATGTGCCAGACAACACTCCAACCAACTGAGCCACCTGGCCAGGGCTATAGTCATTGTTTTTAAAAATCTCATCTTAGTACTGTGACTGGCGCATAATAATTACTCAATAAATATTTGAATGACTATTGTGTATAATTAAATATACTACTGTAAGTACAGATAATATAATCAGAATTTAGGGATTTAAGTGGCCTTATGCCCTGGCTTCTTGATTACTGCAGGGACCCCTCATTAAGGAGTGGGCATGCAGCCATCCTTGCTGTCATTGTCACAACTTGGATTTACGTCCCTAGTTGTTCTCTCACAGTCTGATTGTGTCCCGTTTGTGATGTGCAGGCTTCCTGCCTCTAATTGCTTTACACATATACACAATTCCTCTCTGCCCTCTCTTGCTTATCCATTACTTTCTGGGTCACCAAAGATGAGGTAAATGAAGGTAATGAGGAAAGAGGAGACTAAGGATTGGGATTTGAAATAAAAAAAAATTAGCTTCTGCCCTGGCTAGTGTGGCTCGGTTGGAGCATCATCCTGTACAAGAGAAGGTGGTGGTTTGATTCCTGGTCAGGGCACATGCCCAGTTTGTGGGTTTGATCCCTGGTTGGGGCCCATGCAGGAGGCAAGCAATCGATGTTTCTCACATTGATGTCTCTCTCTCTCTCTCTCTCTGTCAATAAAAAAATATGGTTTCCATGCCCAGCTCTGTGAATTTTAATAATTTAATATTTATTTATGTATGTATGTGTTTATTTTAACTACCTTTTTTGGGGGTAAGTCAGTTAGGTACTCTGGGTCTTAGTTCCCTTACCTAAAGAATGGGAATAATGCAATCCTCCCATATAAGGTTTGTGGTGCTGGATCCAATGGAATATAACATAGAAAGGTACGTTTGTGAAATAAATCAATAAACCAAGATTAGTTATGATTATTATAAGCTCCAGATGTGTAATTGAGGGCTGTTCACAATTCTGACCCTTTGGATAGGGCAGGCGGTTGCCTAAGGACATGAAATTGAGTGACAGACTTAAAAACATTTCCTGCTTCCCTTTCCAGCCTGACCTCAGGCTCCTTTTTCTAATCTCTTCACGCTTCCCTTGTCATAGAATACTGTAATTCCCAGCCCAGTGTATTCCCATGTTTTTACATCTAAAAACCTTTTCACACTCCCAGGATGGCTATAATAAACCTTTTCACACTCCCAGGATGGCTATAATAAACCTTTTCACACTCCCAGGATGGCTATAATAATAAGACATAATAACAAGTGTTGGCAAAGATGTGGGGAAATTGGAACCCTTATACACTGCTGGTGGAAAGGTAAAATGATGCAGCCACTTTGGAAAACAGCCTGGAATTTTCTTAAAAGAGTAACATGGAGTTACCATATGACCTAGCAATTTTACTCCTCGGTATATATATTCAAGAGAAGTGAAAATGTCTGCATAAAAATTTGTGAACAAATTTTCACAGCAGCTTTGGTCATAATATCCAAACACAGAAGCAACCCAAATGTCCATCAATTGATGAATGGATAAGCAATGTGTGATAGATCCACACAATGGAATATTATTTGGCAGTAAAAAAGAATAAAGTACTGATATAATGCTACAACATGGAGGACCCTTGAAAACATTATGCTAAGTGAAAGCAGACACAAAAGGGCACATATCGTATTAACTGTATTACCACTTATATGGAATATTCAGAACAGGTGAATCTATAGAGATAAAAACTGGTTGCCTGAGGCAGCAGGAGGGGAATGGAGAGTGACTGCTGATGGGGATAGAATTTCTTTTTGAGCGATGAAATGTTCTAAACTTGATTGTGGTGATGATTTCCATACTGTGGATATACTTAAAACCATCGCATTATCACATTAAATGGATGAGGTGTGTGGTATGTGAATTATATCTCAATAAAACTATTGCAAAAATGCGTTTGGATGACACATTAGAGTGATGAAAGACAAAATATTTAAACTTTTCAAATAACCTTTTTGCTTTCTTTTTTTGATTGGCCAAAGGATGCAGTGATATTTATTGCCAACTCAGTAACGCATCACCATACCAGAAGGGACTGACATTTTACGTATATATTTTTATAGTATTATTCTTGATACAAAATGAAGAGAAGGTGCCATAAATAGTCAAGAAAACTTCAGTACGTTCTTAATTTGAAGATAACCATATATAAATCATTCATATTAGTGGAGTTTCATACTACGTCTTTTCAAATCATTAGTTTTTGTATGTTTTATGTATAAATCTTTCCTCTTGAAATTTGCCCATGCAGTCATGAGATTCTAATTATGACATCTGAAATCCACCTCATGTTTCTTCTGTAGGCTAACCTCAGGGATGTTTGACAAGAAA